AAAAAAAAAAAAAAAAAAAAAAAAAAAAGAAGACTCTTGTAATTCAGAATCATGCATTTTAAAAAAAGATATATTAGAGAATTTGTTGCCTGAGAAATGGTTAATTCACTTATGTTTTAATAAATTGTCATAGCTGTATTTGATCTTCACTAGTTTTACTGAAAAGTGGAATGAAAATATATGAAAAACAAAAGCCTATAAATACCCATAATAATTGACTAGAAATGAACTTCACTTGACTACATATAATTAAACAGAAATAAAGCTGATGATCACTTAGCATTAACAGTTTGGACATGAACTTTAGAAGCAAAAGGTAAAGGAGGCATTATTATGTCATGTTTTTTAAGAGAATTTTCTTCAGCTAATATTTTGGGGATAGAAGAGGAAACTTCCTTTTGTTGTTCTCGCCACTTAAGTATATTCTCTGCCAATTCTTCTGTCTCAGTCACCAAAATATCCATCTCTGCTAAAGCTTTGCTCTGTATCATTTGAAAGAGAAAATAGGAGAGAAATTACATCTGTCATTAATTCATTATCATACATCACAAATCGTTATGATACCAAAAGTTAACACCTGATTTACAATACACACCTTTTTACAATACACACCTTCTCTTTGAGTTCACCTCTCCTTTGTCTTTAATGATTACCTTGATGCAGATGACCCTCACTCTATACCATCAAACCTAACCTCCTTCCTAAAATTCAGTTCCACATTTAAGTCTGTGGCAATCTCCATCTGGATGCATACTTGATATCTCAAACTCAATTTAACTACACTTCAACAAAGATTGAACATTTACTACACATTCAAGACATGTCACAAAACAAACCCATTAACTTCTTTAACCTGTACTTGATCCTACTCACTCTCACACCACCCAGGCTAGAAACTTCATTACCTTGGATGTGTACTTTGTCCCAATAGCAGCCAAGTTCTAGAAATTTAACCTCCAAAATCTAAAAATTCTATACAATCCTTTGTATTCCTATGCTTTAACTATTTTATCTGAATGACTGTAATTAGTCTCCAAGTTTCTTTGCCTTTGGTTTCTCTGCCTAGTCCTCTAACCCGGAGCTGATCAAACTTTAATGTGCATAGGAATCACCTGAGGAACTGTTAAAATGTAGATCCTGATTCTGAAGGTCTAGGGTAAATAAAATCTGCAGCTCTGCATTTTTTACAAGCTTCCAGGTGACTGATGCTTTCTGTCCCTACTTGGAGTAGCAAGGCTCAGTTTACACTACCCAATATTTTCTCCATGATTAAGGCACAGTTCTGATCAAGTCACTCCTCTGTGCCTTTCACTAAAAAAAAATTTTAAACAAAAATTCATTCAGTGGCTCCCTGGTACTCAGACAGTAAAGTCAAAAGTTCTCAGTCTGGTTTTCAAGGCATTCCATAAACCAGCCCTGAGTAATCTCCCCCTTAATACTTTTAGGCATCAGCCAAAGTGAACTACCACTTTGCCCCCAAACTACCTGGGTGCTCTTTCATGTCTTTCTTCACACTGTTGCTTTTGGCCAAACTATTTTTTCTGATGCAGGTCCAAATTTTACTGATTCTTCAAGATAAAGCTCACCACTAACTCCTATATAAAACTTTATTTAGGCAGCTGGCCAGTTAGCTCAGTTGGTTAGCGCACAGTGTTATAATACCAAGGTCAAGAGTTCAAATCCGTGGATGCCCATACTAGCCAGCCACAAAACAAAATACAAAAACTTTATCGAAGTCTTCCTGCCTCCTTATCCTATTTCCAATCCCCCTAAACCGGAAGTAATTCTTCCTGTCTCTGTGTTCAATAGATAGCATCTCTTTATAATTCTATGCCGTACTTATTACGCAAATACAATCCTATAAAGTAGAAAATACGTATCTTATAGCTGTCTCACCAAATCTTGAGAATTTGAGGGTAGGAATTGGTCATATCTATCTTTCACAATAAAAGTAGCATAGCCCTTTAACAATGAAGATAACAAATGTTGGATCGAAATAACTTAAAATGACTTCCAAAGAAAAATGATGTAAAAAAGAAAAAGCTTCTTGACTTTAAAAATAATTAGCTCGTAATATTAACCATATAAACAAGATCACACATTTGAGATTCTAGTATAAAAGAACTAAAGACATATATTAATACTCACCATTTTCTTTAGATTAGTATCTAAATGAGGGATATTTCTAATTGTTTCAAGATGAGTTTCTAATCTTTCAATGAAAGTCACAGCCATCTCCAGCAAATGTACTATATATCTGAAAGAGAAGAAAAAAGTCAACTATTATTTTTTTAGTTTAATTATTTTGTGTTCTCTTTCTTTTCAGTTAGGGCTTTTAATTTGAGATAAGAGAATTACCATCAACCTAATGAGCCAATAACAACCTTCCTGCATTCATGGAAATATCAGTGATAAAGAAAGGTCCTTCTCTTTCCCTTTAAGCAAGACTTAACTTGTCATCCAAATAGAAAAAGGGAAAGAAACAACACTAATCATATATGGAACCCAACCTAACGTTAGACAAACCTCAATGTTACTAATTTTCTAAGTGAAGACATTTCCTTAGATAAAATCTCATTCCATTTGAATCTACTTATCAGTGAAGAGTGAAGACAATAAGGATAAATTTACTTCATTGAAAGAGTCTACACACAAATTTACTTTGAAACTTTGCATTTGCAAAATGCTTTAAAATCATTACTTGGTGGTTCTTTGATGTAGTATAATATATACATTAATAGTATATACTGTGCTGAATAGATACTGAATATAGCCACAAGAATGGGGTTTTGTATATTTATTTTTTTACTACAAAATAAAAATTTTGACACCAGGGTCAACTGGTGAGGTACTAGTGGAGAAAACTAGCAATCAGATCCCCAGGTACTTGCTTCTTTATTTTATTATTTATTGTTGATAATAAGCTACATTTTCAATTTGATACTTGTAATGCTCTTTTGAGATAGAGTGCAATAGAAATCATCCCCATTCTATGAACTGGGAAACTGAGACAAAAATTTAAATCATTTGCCCAAGAATTTGAGGAATATAAAAACAGTAGAGATGAGACCAGAATTCAGTTTCTTCCTCCCTTATTTGACATTGTTTTTATCTGTCCCTGTTAAACCCCAACAAAATTTTTACATACAGGCAACATTAACTCAATAAATTTACTTCACAGAAAACAGTCTATATATAATAAAAACGATTTTTACTCACCTTGCTACATGTTATGGATCTAATTTCTTTCATTAAAGTCATAGTTTATAACTCCCAAAACACAATGGGCAAAAGAAGTTCTTTCTTTTCACCATAGTATAATTCTTTAAAAGCAAAAGATTCTCTCTCAATGTGTCAACATTAATAATGTTAACAAATACAATCAATGATATATTGTTTCATGAATTATGCTACAAAGTAACTTCTAGTATAAAGCAAAACTACCCTCAGAAAACATGTGTGACTATTAATTTCTACTTTTCAGTCTAACCTGTGATATACAGCTTCAATAGGTAAGTTTTCCTGGCACATGGGTTTCAACAGTCTTTGCCTGAGGGACCGCTTCTCTTTTAGCACCGTTTCCAAATGATTATTCATGCTTTGCAGAGAATGACACTTCTGAGCTAAAAAAACCAGAAATACTAATTATAATTAGCAACAAGACAAGTTTTGGAATCACTAATAATTTCTTCTTTGCTTTGGTTTGACATTACCAATGTCAAAATTAATCCCACCATTTCTCTCTTCAATATCTCCCCTTTGCTATCTTTATTATTTTCAACAACTTTCTCTTGCTTTTCCTACTGACAACCAAATCTAATGCTAAATTCTTTCTCTGTGTTTCTCAGCTCTACCTCCTATTCAGTTTTTATAGCCAGAGCCATTTTCTTCACATAAAGTCTCTTTTCCTATCCCTGCCTCTTACATTCTACATGGCAACATTAAAAAAACCAGTCATCTTACAAGCTATTTCTGGTTATCTCAGTAGTTTTCTTGGAATTCAGTTAATGGCTGCCAACTGCCCCTTTTTTTTTTATAGTTTTAAGCTGAAAAAATTCAGGGCTGGCCATTTAGCTCAGTTGGTTAGAGCATGGTGCTGATAACACCAAGGTCCAGCGTTTGATCCATCCCTGTACTGGCCAGTCACCTAAAAAAACAAACAAAAAAACCCCTTCTCCCTGAAAAAATTCAAACTTACAGAAAAGTTCAGTAAACTCCTCTATACATTTCACCTAGACTAATTATTAACATTTGACTACATTTTCTTTTTTTCCTCTTTCTTTCTCTCTCCACACACACACACACACAATTTTTGCTGACCTATTTGAGAATAAGTTGCAGACAGCATGATCTTTTACCCCTAAAACTTCAGTATTATATTTCCCAAGAATAGAAATATTTTCTTTTTTTTTTTTTTTAAAGATGGCCAGTAAGGGGATCTTAACCCTTGACTTGGTGTTGTCAGCAAGTGAGCTAAATAGCCATTCCTATATAGGGATCCGAACCCGTGGCCTTGGTGTTATCAGCACCACACTCTCCCAAGTGAGCCACAGGCCGGCCCGAAATATTATCTTATACAATTACAGTATATTATCAAATTAAGGAAATGTAACATTGATATAATACTGCCAATCTTCAATCAGCCCATATTTAAACATCACCATGTGTTCCACTAATGTCCTTTTCAACAACAAAAAAATTTTTCTGATCAAATGTTCAATTCATGATCATACAGTGCTTTAGTTGTCATGTTCCCTTAGTCACCTTTAATCTGGAAAATTCCTCAGCCTTTGTCTTTTAAATTCTCCTGACTTTGAGGAGCCAAATTGGTCACTTTTTATGCTATTTGCACTAGTCAAGCCAACAGGACTTCTACTTGAACATAGAAATAGAAGACTTTGTTAGCTTTGGGGCAACACCTGGAAAAACTGTTATATCATAATTTTGCTGCCTGGTGCTTACTTACAGTAATCCAAGAAAAAGTTGAAATTCCAGTGATTACCCACTTAATCTACTTACCCAAAAAGAAAGGACGAACGACATCTGCTGTATCCTTTTCTAGTTTCAGCAGTTCAATTTCCAGGTTTTTCTACATTAGGAACAAAAGTAACATTTAGTTCATTCAGAAAGTATCCTGAAGCTAAAGGCTTAAACTTTGATAAAAATGGGTAACCCAGGAACACGCTACAAGGAGTATATTCCTTGAGACGGGGGGACGATTTGTTATAAAAGCTCTGCTGCTACTACTGTTACAACTACTAACCACTACTATTACTAAGACTACTACTATTAACTACTATGTAGTGGATTGAATTATGTTCCCCCAAAACTCATGGAAGCTTGAACTGAATCCCCCACGTTTTATGTATTACAAACTTAGCCCCCCACTGTGACGGTTAAGAGGGTGGAAAATCCTGTTATGGTAATTGAAAGGTGGAGCCTTGAAGAGATGATTGGATTGTAGGACCGTGCCTAGTGAATGGATTAAAAATGGTGGTCAGGGGTGTGGTTCTGAAGGCTTTAAAAGAAGAGGAGAGTCTGTCTTGCTCTCTGGGCTTCCACCATCTTGCAATGGGAGACCCCTGGGTCACTGTTGCCACCACCAGATGGACTTTGGACTTCCCAGCTTCAGAAACTGTAAACAATAAATTTTGTTTTCTTATAAATTACTCAGTTCCACGTATTTTGTTATAAGCAACACAAAACAGACTAATACATACTACAAGTGGACACCTATCCAGCTATGTACCAGACGACTGTTCTAAGTTCAAAATAACTGCTGTTTGAACCAATAAAGTTTTGTTGTACTATAAGTAGAAAGTGAAAAGTTCAATCTAATTTACCTGGTAGATTTCAGCTTGAGTATTTGTGATCTGCTGTAGCCTGGAGAAGTTTACAAAACAAGAAGCTGTTTTCTTAGATATGTTTAACATCTCCTATTGGTAAAAGAAAGTGGAAAGCAGCAGTATATTACAAAAAGTTTCTGTGTACACTGGAATAGTGTGCCCATGGATCTAAAATATGAGAATATATTATGTCCAACACTGCCCCTGAACATGAAGCACAGGAGTAAAACAGCAATGTGTATTTCCTGTTTTTAGAACTTTCACTATCACAAATACCTTGACCAAACATTTAAGAACAATAAAAGAAACAAACAAGACAATCATTTTGTACTGTTTCCTAAAGTACCATATATAATACATTGGTATTACTGATGGCTTCTCAGAGGATTCTAAGATGAGGTTGCTGGAGAATCACCTCTACCTTTCCAAATGACCCAGGCCTAATGTCTCTGACCTTCCTGGGGCTAAAATAAAACAATTTTCCCCAATGGAATCACTTACCTAATTCATTAAATGACCTTGACTGGCTACAAGTCATTCATACTGTCTCTGTTCTCACTCTCTTAGATAAAGGAACGTTTGTGTCCAGACATAATCACTCTTCCAAAAAAGCTACCCTGTTGGGCCGGCCCGTGGCTCACTTGGGAGAGTGCGGTGCTGATAACACCGAGGCCAGGGGTTCGGATCCTATATAAGGATGGCCGGTTAGCTCACTGGTGTGCGTGGTGCTGACATCACCAAGTCAAGGGTTAAGATCCCCTTACCGGTCATCTTTAAAAAAAAAAAAGACAGGGTACCTCTTTTGTAACACATGAAAATTACATAAAAATTCAAACTTCAGAGTCTAGAATGGAAGTTTACAACTTCTCTCATTCATTTACGTATTATCTCTGGATGCTTTTATACTATAAGTGCCTAGTTGAATAGCTGCAATCATATGGTCTACAAAGCCTCAAATATTTATACTCTCTGGCCCTTCATAACCAAAAGTTCACTGACTTACGATAACCAATCTTACAAACACTTAGTTAAGTTAGGCAATGGAAGATACGATGAATGAAACAAGCTCTCTACCCTCAAGAGGCTCATGATGGATGGGGAGGAAAAGGTATTTTAGATAGAAGGAACAAAACATTATAAATGGTCAATAATTGTCAGTATTAACACATGAGAGAAAAAGGGAAAGATGAAGCTGGAAACAGTTTTCTACATAATCATAGAAGACCTTGAGTGCTATGCTTAAGCAATCACAATGCAGAACATGGAAGCAACTGAATGATTTCTGGTGAAGAAGTGATATAATCATATATAATGCTCATTTTAGAAATTAATGGGGTAGCATGAAAAATAAAACTAATGGACAGCCAGGGGCTAGAGGGAGAAGAGGGGGAATGACTGCTCAACGAGTACGGGGTTTCCATTTGGGATGATGAAAAAAGTTTTGAAAATAGTTGCACAACATTGTGAATATACTTACTGCCACTGAGTTGCAAACTTTAAGATGGTTAAAATGGTAAATTTTATGTTATGTGTATTTTACCACACACACACACACACACAAGCAACAACCTGGTAACTAGCCAACATAAACAACATAAAACAAAAAATCTAGCCGAGAGATAAACTAAAGGTTGGACATTTAAACAGATGGCTACTACAATAATCCAAGTGAGATGATGAAAATGTGACTAGGTCAGTAGCAGTTAAGGCAATGAAGGCAGAGATATGAATTCCTGCGAAGACAAAATTGACAAGTCCTAGTTGATACGGGGAATGAGGGATAAAGTTGAGTCAATATTGACTCCAAGGATTCTACTTCAAGTTACTAGACAGAGAGTCGTGCCATCCGCCGAGGTAGGTAACACAAGATATTTTACTAATGGCAATACTGAGGACCAGGGAGGGTATTAGTCCAACTTCACATGTCAGTGTGTGTCAGGGCAGAAGTGAGAACATATCTAATCTACTGCCTTTCCATCATATCAGCCTCTCTTACTTTTCTTTCTTTTCTTTTTGGTAGAAGGTTAAAAAGTAAAACATCTCCCACATCACTTTTTTAATTTTTTTTTTTTAAAGATGACCGGTAAGGGGATCTTAACCCTTGACTTGGTGTTGTCAGCACCA